ACAGCAAATGTACAACGTTTCGGCAAGGTTTTGTCATCATCAGGTACAAAGATGATGTACAAAACCTTGTCGAAACGTTGTACATTTGCTGTTATTTTAAACTTATATTTAAGTTTTTCTTCATTACCCATTCAATCCGTCTCCAGCCATTATTAACACATATGTAGTTTCATTTGACAATGATAGTCCAATCAGAAACTGAATTTACATAAGTTTCTATCCTCTAGAGCCTTGAAATTATCATTGTACATAAGCAACATAAGTATATGCAATTATCTATTTCACATAAAACAATTCAATTTGACATAACATTTGACTAAAGAGAAGTTGATTAACTATAAAAAAACCTAAACGTTTTTCATAACAGGAGAGCTGACCAGAATATTACTTAATTAAAAAATAGGTTGATCTAAATCACACACATAATTATCAGACTTGTAATTTATAATACTCATTACATTGTAAATGAAAAGTCGCATACAAAATAAGATATATTTACTTACTTTTTATTCAAGTGTTAATTTTTACTTACATCTTATATATCTATTACACATTCAGCTTATATGACACACAAGTTAAAACAAGAAACTAGAATTCATTCTTAAAAAATTACAAAAACAAACTGTTTTAGGGCTGTTGAACACGTGATAACTATTTAAAATCACCAAAGGTTTTTCTCACTCTGACCATCACAATATGAAAACCGTAGGAGAACACAAACTTAGCTGGCAAATATTACTAAAGAAACTTTTAATCAACATTTCATGCACACATATACAAAAAAATTAAGCCTGCAAAGCAGCCTCCTACAATATAAAGGAACATAAAAAATAAGCGAATTATCATAAATCCACATTTTCACAACTACTTTCTTCTATGACAATATGTCAAGCAGACAGCTAGTGTTTCTGTATTACACATGTAAGATATATATTTGTTGTTACTTTCATTCACAATATTGACTATACTATTTAATATAGTTAATGTCATTATATTTTATTTTGATTTATTATTACATTTTTTTATAGCGATTTTTTTTGCATTGTTAGCTTAGCAATATATTTAGGACTATCCTAAGTCTCTTAACTACAAAATTAAGGAAGAACAAGACAACTGTATGTTTCACAAATACATCATTTATTCAAGACCATGGTTTTGCCAGTAAAGGCATCATAAGGTACTGGTTTATATATGTTTAAACAAAGAACTGGAAGTGACCTTGACATTCACATAGAGACAACTGGGGTAAGAAGTGTGGAGGGGCTTAAGTTGGTTTGGTCGTTTAAACCTTTTTCTGCATTTGTTTTTAAGACTTCTATTTATTTCTAAACTTTCCAAAATATCTAGTTTTTTACTTTTTCCACAGATATGTAAAATTTTGCAGTGTTTTTCCATATCAAATTGTTTTTTGTTTCAAAAAGATGGGATGCAAAGGTTGAATCCATTTTTCTTAATTTCCAGCTTCTAAAATGTTCTTTACTTGTTATTTCTATGGAATATCTTGTTTGACACTATTGCAGTCTTGACTCGTTAATTGGTAAACACCAATTTCAAGTATCAATTGTATAAATCTCTGAAGCTGATTAATAATTATCTCTGAGATATTATTCAGATTACAGCCAAAAATATCCTAAACAGTGAGGATACCCAACTTATCAAAAAAATGCATCAAAATATAAGAAATGTATACTTAATTAGCTATATTGATTGCAAGATTGATTTTTAGTATTGCTTTAAGTTCACAGTTTGCTCTGCTTGAAAGTTAATGTTAAAAAATTAATAACACAACTGAAATTTGGACTAGTACAAACAGCGTATTTAAGTTAGTTAATCGGTAAATCAGAAATTAGCATAGCATAATATAACGTTTGGGGAAAACATGGGACCTATTGGACCATTTCAGCTGTTCCATTCTCTTAACTAAATTAAAATAATAATAATAAAAAATATTAAAGCCAGCCCTTATCATTCATATAATTATCAAGCTTTTTCTTAAACTTAAATTTACTGCCTCTATAACATCCAAAGGCCAACCACCCTATTAGAAAAATGAAATCATCTTAGCTGAAGATGACTCCTATCTTGCCAAAATTTATATTTGTGTACTCTAGTCCTACTATTCTCACTGTTAAATATCAAAAAAGATGAGGCATCAACACTATCAATTCCCTTTACAATCTTAATTCTTAATCCTAATTCTTATTTTTTCAAGAGAAAAAATTTGAGAGATTTCAGCCTTTCCTTGTATGACAACCCCTCCATCCCAGGCACCATTCTAGTAACCCTTTCCAACAAAACAATGTCTTTCCTAAGGTAAGGAACCCAAGACTGAACATAATATTCCAAATGTGGCCTCATCAGTGACCTGTATAATGAAATTATACCCTCTTTAGACTTGTATTCAAGATTTTTGAAGATGCAACCTAACATCCTACTTGCCATACCACTAGCAACAGCACACTACTTGGATGGCTTTAAAGACTGTTCAACTATTATACCAAGATCCCTTT